AGAAGCAGGTTCCGCACGATGCGGGGCGTGAACTGTTCCTGCACCAGGTTGAAGATCTGCCCCGACTCCGCTCCAGGGGCCCGCACGAAGTACCGGGCGTCTCCCGCCGTCTGGTCCAGGAAGCCGGAGCCCGCGAGGGCGTCGTCGATCTCCGGCTGCGTCCTTCCCGACGTCCAGTACTGCGTGAGCGTGGCCGTGAGCAAAGAGTCCAGCTCTGTGCGGGGGTAGAAGAGCGAGTCGGTCTGGGCCGAAGCCCAGGGCATCGGCGATTTCCTGGTCCGTCTCGGCCCAAATATAGAAATCTAAGAGGGCAGTGATGATCTTGGAGTCGACCTCATTGTTGTTGTCGTAGCTGTAGGGCCCCAGCTCCCCGGCGATCAGGGCCAGCACCTGGGCCTCGTTCCGGAACTGGGACAAGTCGAGGGCGTCGATGGCGGCGGTGATGGCAGCTCCCGTCTCCACCTGCGTGTAGGTCTCGCTGCGGGCGTAGGAGTCCGCTCCAGCAGGATGGTGTCGTCCAAGTTTTGGAAGCTGGCGGTGAGGGCGCCCGCCACCGAAAGGTTTCTCAGCACGTTTGTGCCCCGGAGCAGATTGAAGGTGGGACCGCCGTTCCAGGTCTGGCCGTTGGCCAGGGTCACCGGCACCAGTGCTGCCGTAATGGCGGCCTGGACCTGGGTTATGGTCCAGTAGGGCGTGAGGTCGATACCACCGCCGCAGCGATGGCACTGTCCGTTTGCGCCGACGTGTAATAGGCCGCGAGTGCTGCAGCGATGGCTGCATCTCGCTGGACGATCGTCGTGTAGGGCACCAGGGCGTCCGCGACGGTCTGGGTCATCTGCGCCGTGGTGCTGTAGCCGACCAGCTGGTCGTCCGTGTAGGTGTTGGCCTGCGCCAGGAAGGCGACGAGGTTGGCCGTGGCCTCCGCCCTCGTGAAGTGATTCGTGAGAGCAGCAGCGATGCGTCGCTGGTCTGCTGGGTCGTGCTGTACCCGCCGAGCTGGGCGAGCACCCAGGACTCGCTGGCCTTCGGGAGCAGCAGAGCATCGGTTTGGGCGGTGCTGTAGGCGTCGCAGCTGAGCTGCAGGGTCCAGTTGTCGTTGACCAGGGCCAGGCCCATGGGGGCGACGGCGTGAAAGTTGCGGATCTGGTTGGTACCTACCAAGAGATCCCAGGTGATCTCGCCCTGCCAGGCGGGGGCGTTGACAAGATTGGTTGCACCGCCGAGGGTTGCGACTTCGGCCAAAAGCCCGTCTATGGCGGACTGGAGGGACAGCTGCAGGGCCGTCAGCTCCGCCCCCATGGCGTAGGGGCCGGCGTTCTGCAGAGCGAGGATCTCCGCATCGTGCCCGTCCAGCCGGGAGTCCTGGAGGGCCTGCCCGGCGTCGTAGGCGCCCTGGGTGACGTAGCCGAGCAAGGCCGTGGTGAGATCCCCGGTCGTGTGGTAGCCCGTTGCTGATGATCGTTGCGTCTCAGGCCCCTGAGCCCCATCGATCCTTCGTTTTTGGTTCGAAGCCGTACGCTTGACACCCTTGCGTTTTTGAATCAGGTTCCTCGTGGACGATCTTCTGTGGAGCGAAAGGGCACCTGCACAAGAGAGAG